TTGCTTTTCTCTGGCCAGAGGTCCCATCCCGATGCACCAGTATACTTCTTTAATTTCCTTGAGGCTCTTGTAGTGAAAAAAGAGAAAGTGTGAAGGACTTTTGGATATTAAAAGGCAAAAAAATTATTTGTTTCTTTAATTTTGAAGAAAAATTACTATAAAAGAAAATTTTTAAGAAAAAAGTTGTGTACAGAAAAGAGTTTTTTTTTTTTTATAATATTAAATTTTGTATCAAAATAATTAATCCTTAATATTTACAAATATAAAAATTCATTTTTAAACTTTAATTTATCATATAACAATTCCTATACCTTGTATCACATGACTTAAATATTTTAAAAATAGATAACTTTGAATATTTCAAGTTTCAAATATTCCAAAGAAATATAATTTGAATTATTATATTTTAATTACTATATTTTTTTTAATGGATTCATTTATATCACTTACATATATTATTCAATTCATATTGCTTACTTATATGATTTTTTTTGTATTATTACAATTCCATTCTATCACATATATAGCATTGATCGATGCTTTAGAAGTAGTAAGAAATTTGAGATAAATAGAATTGTTTGTAAATAGCAATAATCTCATAAAGAGAAGTATAAATGAAAATGAAACAAAACTTATTAAACAAGGTTCTGCTAGTTAAAAATAATAATTAATAATAATTAATGTTTAAATACGTATTTTATTTTTAAGAAAAAACAAGTGCGTACTGCATATTACCAAAGGAATGAGGATTTTCGCGACTTTAATATGCCGTATACAGCATATAGGATTTTTATGTAATGATTTGTGAAATATAAAAAAAAAAAAATACACAGCATTTGAACGAAGAAAAAAGTTATATAATTTGATGATTGAAATTATCAATATTTTAGTCTATGCTGATATAATAAACCAATAAGAAGAGTTTTTTTCATATTACATGATTCAGACTTTATTAATCTCAAATGCTAACTGCAAATTCCAGTTTGTACTAAATGAATTGGTGAAAAATAAATTAAGGTGTATGTACACGCGATAATAATCGTATATTTCCAGATATACACTATTTACATATTTGCCCGTTGATCTATCTTTATAAACAATGTGGTATACAGTGCTGTAGTCAACATCTATTTACAGGGAGTAAAAGTTCTTAGAGAATCGTATATTTACAACCATTAACATCTCGCAGAGTAGCAATGGTAAAAGTCTTTATATACATAAGAAGTCTTGAATGACACCTTTCTCATGCATGCACTGCAAACAAAATGGAGGTCATCCTTCGCCCATCTTATGTTATCCTATTTCCAGTGGCGATTGTCCGTTATCTATTAAATCTTCCAGTGAATCAAATTTAGCTTCCAAATCCTCCAGCCCCTCATCCATGGAAGTTCGCCAAGAGATCATGTGTTGCAATTTTTTGTCAACGTCATCAACCTCTTCACTCATTCTCCTTGGCGATTTCAATTTTCGTGTACATCTGTCCCTTGATTTTAATTGGGCTCTTAAAATCTCCAATGCTTGCTCAATGCTCTCTTCCGTTCTTTTCTCTACTTCATGCTTTTTCTCCAAAAGTTTTAGAATTTCAAGGTCTCTTGCGATTCTCTGCTTCGACGACAATGCAATGTCGGTTTTCAAAGCTGCAAAGGTAACGACTTCTCTGGTAGCACTGAGTGCATTGGAAGTTGTTTCGATCGCAGTTTGAAACCCTTTCTCATTTTCGTCGATATCAAGTTCAGCTTTCCCACCAGAATCAATACTCTCGATATTGTCTTTGATCATTCTTATTGCAAGCCTTAATTCCTCCTCCAATTCTATTTGTTTCTCGAGGCGTGAGAGAAATAGTGAATCATAATCTTTTTGGACCTGATTAACCATTTGAAAAGAATTTAGAAGCGATGAAGAAGATTCTGGAGGCTCGAGGTCTTCTCTACGAGTAACGTCTAGGAAATAAGGAAGGAAAAAAAGATTTGAGCAGGCGAAACATTTCTGTGAAACACATTAAAATACCTACGCTCACCACTCTGCTTTAACTTTAATTTACGAAGGGAATCATTAATCCTTGCCCGTACATTGTTAGCAGCGGCAATGTTAAGCACCGTTTGAGTCACATCTTTTTCCTCAAATATAGCTTCGCGCTCACATTTTTCCGCGCGCCCTGATGAGCCAATTTTGTTGAACAGGCTGTTTCTCACACCGGATTGCTTCCGGTGGTGATTTTGGTGTTGTTGTGTCGGCGTCTTACTATTTCGAAATAATTTTCGAATGTCCTGAGCAAAGTTCTTCACACCGGGTCCCACTTTGGAACCCTTTCCCTTAATGTTATCACTTTCAAACTCGTCCTCTCTTCCCTTCTTTTTGTTGTTCGCCACAGAATGTATCACACCATTGCAACTGACGGAATCCACTTGATCAACCAAAGCGATATCTGGGCCTTCAGGATCAAACATATTATTACTATCGCCACACGTTCCTATAATAAAGCATTTGTTTTTTTCGCGAAATGTGACGGTTTCATTTGAAGTGGATCCGACAGCCAAAAATCTCAATCCTTCGTTATGTTGTTGACTAGACCTACCAAAATCACCAATTTTCTTATCTCTGACATTGGTAAATTTCGACTCGACTTTGTCTCTTTTATCGTTTGTGGCAGTCCTTGAACGTGATCTCGAACGATTCTTCAATATTCCCATTGCATGAGAAATTTTCTGCCGGAATGCGGTAAATAGGTCATTTTTAGTCCTTGAACCCTTCAGCTTTCTGGATTCGTCCGGGTCTTCCGACGAATCATATTCTGATGGTTGAATATAAAACCACATTGATACCAATGCTATGAGTGTCATTCCGCCCATGTATGCTACGGGTCTAAACATGTATGCATAAGGATGTTTCGCATTTTCGTTGAGATCACATTGAATCGATATTCACTCACGAGATAATTTTAACGGAAAACATACTGACCGATACTTTTGTATGTTCATGTGAGCGGGAGACGATATCCAAGTACAAATCAAGGAAGCGGTTGTCTCGCACCGAGAATTCTTATATAGATATCTATGTATCGACAAATGAGAATTCAGATTCTAACAGGAAATCAAATTAAAATATCAACGAAGAACTAGCCGTATGAATAGATTGTTCTAGACTCTTTAAGAGAATTGTGCACAGCTATGTTCTTACTTTTGTTTTTCCATCATCATAATAACATTTATAGGATCGTTTTAAGATATGTTAAGACTAAACACGAAAATTGTAAGAGGTAATCGAGGGAGAAGATAGGAAGAAAAAAAAAAAAAAATTAAAGTTAGCATAACAAAAAAGGTTTATGTTACATTAAATATCACGCAACACGGATGTTTAAGAGCAAGATGGTAACAGGAATACCAAACGACCAATTGAATTTAATTCGCCCTGCGCGTTCTTTTTCCAATCCTTGATGACGTACCGATAAGTCGGATCGACACCCCGTACCGGATTGTTGGTTCAATAAGAAACTTACTGCTCGAATTAACAGGAGAGCATGATATTGTATCTTTTTATAATAATTGAAGGATTTCATAATATAAAACAAAGAGATTGGAGAACGCGACATCAGAAGAAAAATAGTAGGAAGAGAAAATCAAGAGAGATGCGCACGAAATCAAACTTATATAATAAACATAAAACACACTGCATCGGCAAGTTTTAATTACCTCAAGTAGTGGTATATGACGGGATGAAGGTATAAAGAAAGTCAATAGATCCCGGGTGAGTACAGAAAATGCACTATTTCCTGATAGAAAACGAGTTTATATAATACACGTAAAGACGAAAATGTTAGATGATGAGATAAACGGTCGGGTGAGAGGAAAAAAAGAGAAAATAATGCTTCAGAGAAAAAAAAAATGAAAGATGAATCTATACTTTTATCAACACATAAGTCACCTGAATTGCTGTGCGACGATAGAAGGGATAAACCTGAAATACTCCAGTTGAACAAACAAGACAAAGAAGATTAAAGTACACGATATGAAGATAAGAAATAATAAGTCCGAGCTTGGCGTAAGTTCAATGCTTTTTTTTTTTTTTTCAATCAGTGATCATTTTAGAACCTAAAAAATTTTTCTTTGTGAGGCCTTCATAACTGCGTCTTTTTTCCACTCCATTATGACATACAACCAACAATAGAGTGATGTGCGATCGACGATTTCTTACATATTTTTTTTTAATAGAAAAAGGAATAATTAATGTTGGAGTGTACATACACATTATGCAAACATTGTGTCGCATTAAGTTAGTGCCTCGATGATGACATATCTTGTCCATTTCCTCAACGTCACCAAAAATTTTGAAGATCAATTTTCCATAAACTCGAGTCGCATAGATGTACCGGTATAGTTTACGTTGTCTGTTCGTGCGCATGCTAACGCCCTTGATATTTTGTGATTTTAAAATTCTTTCTTGGAAACAATTGAACTTGAAGATCATTATTAAGCATCTATCAACTCTTTTCCATGTGAAGTTACCAGCAAGGAATACTTCACAGAGAGGAATCTTAGAAAAGTCCACCGTTACAAAAAGTATACTGTATGCAATGTTCAAATCACTGAGCACCGGTAAATTGCAAATCAAATCTGCCGGGTTCCGAAATCAGCATCTAGTACTGAAAAGGGCTTGATCGTCTTACTGTGCCACATTGACAATAATGTCTATTGTCCGTTCGAGTTGCACATAAAAAAATTTTTTTTTTTTTTTTTTAAAAAAATCTTTCGACATTTTCCTCGTGCAGTTATGTGTACGTAATGTGTTTCATGTATTAAATCTTTTGCCATCTTTATCCTTAAACATAATTAGGAATCAGGTTTTTAAGCTGAAATTTGATGCCTCTATTTTACGCTTTTTGGAGGGAACCCAAGAGTTTTCGAAAAATTTTTTAGTGGATTTAGAAAAAAAAAAACAAATTTCAACGTCAAATTACATATATAGATGGATGGCTTAATGCACATAAGTGACATTGGTCATACGATCTTACACCGCATGGATGATTGCTTCCGGACGTTTACGTACACATTTTAACTATTGTCTCCTTGTTTGTCATGTTACACCAAAATAAACATGAAAACTTTAAAACAAGATTCACCTGTCAATCCTTGTGTGCACTGATTCATAACACCCCTTCCTTTTTAAAGTGTATTTTCATAATCCCAGAGGGGATATGGTTAGAACTTTTAAAGAAAATCGCTGAATCGGATATTAGACGGGATTCCGACTTGCTTTACATGCGTATGTAATAATAAACAATGTCGCCCTCGAGGAACTTTAAAAAAAAATTTTTTTTCTAGGGGTAATGGATCTACAAATTAATTTTATATTTTGTGGTTGATACACGAAAATTTTTTTCAATGAATTCCAAGTGGAAACTTATTTGCCTTGATGGGTCTCGTACGAACAAGGGGAAGACCCGATATGGTCACATTACCCACCATGTTATTTTTCGCGAAATGTGTGCATGTATGATACTCTTCCGAAAATATAAACATACTTAATACACACAAGCATTAAACTTTAAGATATGGATATATGGATGCGAGAATAGTGAACTTTTTTTTTTTTAAGTTAATCATCTGCACGAACATCAAATTACTTTGTTCGAGACTTCTCGTGAAAAAATAACATTGATATATTCAATTTGATTCTGTACCACGCCTCGGTTCATTTAGAATCGACAAATTAAATGAAATTTCCGGATATGGCTAAATGGCGCATGCGGTAAATAACCCATTTAGGCATCATCTATTTCGCAAAAAAATATTCCGCGAAGGAAATTTTTTTTTTTTTTTTAG